CTTGATTGCGAACAGGTGCGGCAGTAATCAGGCCTGGGTGTGGCTAGAGAAATTGAACTCAGGTGTGATAAACCACAGTTTTAACAGGGGGGCAAACACTTCTTCACACAGGGCCATGTAGTTTTGGATTTTGTTTTCCCTTAATAATAAAAACCTTCATTTAAAAACTGCATGTTGTGTTTACTTGTGTTATCTTTGACTAATATTTAAATTTGTTTGATGATCTGAAACATTAAAGTGTGACAAACATGCAAAAAAATAAGAAATCAGGAAGGGGGCCAACACTTTTTCACACCACTGTATATGACATAACATGTGAAACTACTGGACACTGCTGTGATGCCATGTCATCCAGCACATACCAAAATTAATTGGAAGAGTACAGTACGCACAATGATTGGACAACATGAAAGGCCCATGGGTGCTGAGCTTTTGTCAAACTCACCATGTCTTTGATAGTGAGTCTACAGCTGTAGCACAAGAGTGTCTTCAAGTCCTGATGTGAAGGCAACCTGAAATCCAATTCAGAAAAATGTAAAAAGAGGCAAATCAAATCTTATAGCATCAAATGCATTTCAACTGCTGACTTACCGTAAACTAAAACTTCAAAAAGAATACAAAAGTGTGAGGTGGAATGTACCTGTTTGAGGAGCCACAACCCTGACCCTCCTCTGCTGACCGTGCTGGTGCTTCTACAGACGGGTCCTGAAGTTCAATCTGGGATAGCTGCTCAGACACCAAAGTAGCATTGAAGGCAGAAGCTTTACCTGCAAAAAAGCTTGTTGATTATTAATTATTCAAAACTCATAACCCTACTAGAAAGACAAGCTTACGGTAATCACGATGGTTTTTAGAACATGGTAGCTTTTTTCCATAAATGTAATAATTTGTTTTAATTCACAGTCCTATCTGGCAGCAAATGACACCCACATCTCATCAACTCAATTTTTAAATGCATCTATTGTGTATTAATGTGCATTTTGCCCCATGAATTTATATGCACTTCTGCAATCACTTGAGGAGATGCATTTATTTCCACAGTGCTTGTATGTTAAGTAAATGACGTCAGATGGCAGCTTTATGAGACTAACGAGCATCGGCAAGAAAGAGAGAATTCAATTATTTCCAACATGCACTCATCCAAGGCACTTTTATTTCATTAATGTAAAGTTAGGTCTTTGAGACTTAGATGGAATTGACTTCCACTACGTGACTCCATGGGTTCATTACGGTTTCTCTGACAGATCTGATTTCTACTATGCGACTCTGCGAGTTTAGTGCAATCCATTTATCAGTGGATGCAATATAACAAAACTGATATCTTAAGGAAAAATGCTCAAATATTGGGAAAAAAAACCCCCCAGTTTATAGGTCAATCTCAACTGCAAATCAAACTCTGACGATGTCAACAAGTGACATAAACAGGACCTTTGTTAGGTGTATAATCTACCTGCTTTAGTGTCGAGAGCACAGAGACACAGCAGGCACTTGGAGGCAGCTTCAGCAGTTTGACTTTGAGGGGACATGACTGACTGTATTAAGTTTCTCACTAGTTCTGGAGAGAAACCATTAGGGCAAGTCAGACAAGCCAGTCGAGCCATCAATTTAAATGCAATTATCAGAGTACATCAACTGAATTCAGGGTCAGAGCTGTTGCTTTCAGATCAGTTACCTGTAGATAGTGCTAACAGTGGAGGGGAAGTCCGCCTGTAGGTTGGTGACGAAACTCTCCGTCAGTCGCTGGATGCTGGCTTTATCGTGGGTCTGAAATGAAAGAGGAGTTTACAGTTAAACCGCCAGCATCAAAGTCAAGTCTCACATTGTAGCCTTCATTTTCATCAGTTAAGTCCCAAATCATGATGAAAAAGACTGGAATCAGATCTGTTGTTTCAGGTAACAAAGTTTCAAGTCTACTTGGAATAACTCGTAAATTTGGGATGTCAAAATCACACTAAGTACAGCAGTTTGAGCAGAGAGTCACCGGCTTTATTTAGATGCATATCATCCGATATATGAATGCCATAAAAACAGCAAGCACTTTCTGGAACTGGAAATCAGATTAAATTGTAATCAGAAATTTGAATTGCAAAGTCTACACACATTTCCAGAGTTTTCTGAACAACCCATCACAGACAAACTCTGATGTACAATTATTTGTAGTAGTTTTTTTTTTAAAGGGGTCATATGATGCGATTTCAATTTTTCCTTTCTCTTTGGAGTGTTACAAGCTCTTGGTGCATAAAGAAGATCTGTAAAGTTGCAAAGACTAAAGTCTCAAATCCAAAGAGATATTCTTTATAAAAGTTAAGAGTCAACCACGCCTACCTAAAATGGCTCGTTCTAACACTCCCCCCTGCCCCACGTCACGATGTGGGAAGATTTGCATAACACCACCCAAACGCTCACGCAAAGAAAGAAGGCGTAACTTTTATTCTCGCTGTAGTATTGTTGTTGCCGCCGCCATGTCGTGAAGGCGCTGTGTGTTTCATTGTGAAAGCGAAACTACTTTGTTTGGCCTTCCAAAAGAGGACGATATGGCTTCGTCATGCCTAGAGCTGATCTGTGCTGGTTGCGGAGGAAATACCACAATTTTGCGCTGTGGATCACTGGATCGGCTTTCACCATGGACGAAGCGGAGTCCAGCCCGGGGTCGTCACATGTGGTTGCCGCAAGCCCTCCGGACGCTCCATCGTCAAATCCGCCGGCCACGCCGTTCTCAAGCTCGCCGCCTCTGCTCACTCAAGCCGGCCTCCGCATACTCTAGCCCCCGGCCTCTGCTCACTCTAGGCCGCCGTGTGTGACGCTGTGTTTCGTTGTGAAAGCGAAACTACTTTGTTTGGCCTTCCAAAAATGGACACGACTAGAAATCAGTGGTTAAGTTGTATTTACAACACTGTTCCAGAACACTTCAACCCAAATATTCAGATGTGTGCAGCTCATTTTATGGAGGACTGTTTACTGATCCTGGTAGAGTAGACCACAATGCCGGCTGTTCTGACTCTCAGACTGCAAGTACATTTTTTATATTTAAAGAGTTTTTATATATATATATATATATATTTTTTTTATATATATTTAAAGCGAGTTTTTTTGGGCAGTGTAGAGTAGGGCTTGTTGTTGGTCATTTCTCTGAACACAAATGCAGACATGGTTTTATGTTTACGCGGCGCGATGCAACGCAACGCGTAAAAAGACAGTATAAGTCATTATAATCCATAATTATGTCCCCACTGGATGCAACAAATGCCTCGTTTGTAATGGGTTTTCATGTCTTTGAATCATCGCTCCGGCCTGACAGGGCATCATCACAGTAT